AGGAAGGAAGGAAGGAAGGAAGGAAGGAAGGAAGGAAGGAAGGAAGGAAGGAAGGAAGGAAGGAAAGCCGTTACTGTAACTTTGATAAAAAAGAAAAAGATTACCAATTTTCAAAGAAAAAAACCTCCATTCATACTAATTACACGAAAATAGTTTGAAAACTCAATTATTTATAAAAGAATGGTGCTTAATCTGTTCAAAAACAAACAGCAGTTGTCAAATAGCAATTCTGAGGTTACTATAATGACATTATTATATCAATTTATTTATTGAACAATTTTCATTCAATTATTAACCTTAAAAAGTACAAATTAAAGCATATACATTAAAAATTTTATAAAGGAAAGGATAAGAATTACTGAATGTTAAGCATATGCACCAAATACTAATGAGAGTCACATTATAACACCTAATGAAAACTCAAGGTGTGTAGCACCCTATACTTATATTTATAAAGCAATAACAAAGGCTTGGTGAGATTAGAGTAACTGACCAAGTGACGAGCTCTGAAATCAAGCCAAGGTGTAACCCAAAGTTCTAGGGCTATCTAAAGCTATAGTGTATATAACAATCACTTCAATAGTCTCTGTAGTTCTTTTTTTGTTGTTGGGCCTTTTTTTCAGCCTCTGTATTTTTATTTTTACAAATATCTCTTATAAAACAGTCACTCAAATTGACTTGGGCTTAAGGTTTTAGCACAAATCTAAATGAAGCAAATCCAGAATAAATTATTGTTTGCATTACTACTCCCTTCCAGATTTTCTGCTCTTCTTATTCTCTTCCACAGAACAAAGAAACTAGCCATCATTTAAATATGAAAGGCTGAAAAGACGGCAATTCAAATGGAAGTTCATTAATATTTTCAGAACAAGAAAGACTCCTGACATCAAAAAGCAACACAGAAAGAGTGATGATTTTTTAAATATGTACTTCATTCCATATCCATCTCAAATTTTACAGGGGGAAAAGTCTTTAAATGGTCATTAATTACTATGCAGATATAAGAAACTTATTTTATTCTGGCATACAATATGGAAACAGTAAATTGTCCACATTTTCCTGAAGGATGTGTGTCTTGTTGGGCAGTATTAATATCATCCAGACGGCTTAAAGTATTACATAAGTACACAGAAGTAGAAGACTCTGAAAGAGACATGCAGAAATGTTTCCCGCTAGAAAGTTGTCGCTATTCCTGGTCTTTTGCATCTTTCTTCCTCAAAGCACCATCCAGATCCTAAAACATAGTGCCAGAAAGAGGGGCTCAAACACCGATGGGAATATTTCAAAAGGAGCTATCATCAAGGGGATTTCCCCTTTGTGTGCCAAATAGCTAAATATTTAAGCATCAAAATAAATGATACCATTGACTTAGAATACAGTCAATATAAGAGAAACTATGGGTCCAAGCTGAAGAACAGACAAAAATTCATGAAGAGTCTGTGCATGGGGACTGGGAAGGGTGGTCAGAGGAGGGGTCCCGCAAGCGCACGTTCTTTCATATTACATAATGACAACTAATTAAAAAAGGAGGGATGGCAATATTAGAAAATTGACATTATATTCATAACAGTCACAAACAATTTAGGTAAGAATCACAAATGGAGGTGAAAATGAGTGAGAATTAGATGAGAAATTGGATAATTACATAGTCTCAGTGTATCTGCCTCAAATTTACTTAGTGACTTTGAAATGAGAATTGGCAAAGATTATAGGTAATAAGCTACTTAATATATACTGGTGAAACCAAGCAGCCTACTACCTCAACCAAGGGAGCAATGGACTCATTAAATATGGGATACTGGCATCATGTACTTCATGGTAATACCCCCTGAAGAAGCCACACGTCACTTCCCTAGTATTCCTACTAGAAAGCATTGCCTGAATCCTCTAATAGGGATTCCGATAAACATTGAGGCATCATATAAAACACATGGCCTGAATGCATCAAAATGTCAAGGCCAAGAAAGGCAAGGAATCTAGTATAGATTTGAAGACCTGGAAAGTAAACATCAAGGATGATTATGAATGAGATCTCAAAGGCATTAAGCTGTAAAAGACATAATTAGTACAACCGACAACCCCAAGTAAAACTATGGACTAGATAATGGCCTTTTATCAATGATAAATTTCATAACCATTATTACATAATGGCTTTATAAGACACTATAGGGTGATGCAAAAGTAAATGAGCACTAAAAACTTAGGGGTACAAAAGAACTCTTAAGTCTGCAAATTATTCTCAAGTTTTTTAATCACACAGAAGCACAGAAATACAAAGAAGACAGAGAGAAGACACAAATGATAAAGCACTGGGGAAACAAAACCCTTTTGTGAATCCAGGTAAAACAGTATATGGGATTTCTTTGTACGATTTCAGAAACTTTTTTCCAAGTTGAAATTATATCAATACTAAAAAAACAAAAACAAAACCCACAATAGTGTTTCTGCAATTTCTTTCTTTCTTTTAGTATGTAACAAGAGTAAATCGTGGTACATGAAAACAACAGAAAACAGTGCCAGCAGCACACTTGGTGTGTCTCAGGACCACTGCCATGCTGTTCCTTCTCTTACCTTTCTAACAGGTTGTGGATTGCTTTGAAGAGCAGTGTCCTACATTCATAGGAAAGGCCATTTTCCCAGAGTCCTTCTTCCACAACTGAAACAAACAAAAGAGAAAAAAAACCATAAGTAGGATTTCCAAATAAAAAAATTTTAACTATGAAAATAATAATAATTTATAAGTTATCCAGGGAGTCACACTAGGGCAGGAGGATGGGAAAGGTGAAAAAGAGGAACTGATACCAAGGGTTCAAAATGAAAGAAAATGCTTTTAAAAGGATGATGGTAATTATGTATAATTGTGCTTGATCCAACTAATATATGGATTGTTCTAAGAGCTGTAACAGTCCCCAATAAAATTATTTTTAAAACGTTTTAACTTTAAAATCATTTTTTCCCTAGTGAATGGTAAAGAACGTATGAAAATGGCATGAGCCATTATTTCAGCTGCTTACTGTGTCCAAGAATTTTAGAAATAGGAAATACGTCATATATAAATCTCCTAGCAGGGAACCCACCAAGGAAGGTTTTATGGGTGTTTATTGCCCACTATTACTGCTGTTGCTTAATGACAAAAACTTCATTTAAAAGATGAGTAACAAAAAATACTTAAAGTTAACAAGCTAATGTAACAATTTCATAATGGAATTAAAATTGGCATTAAACGCATGCCTAAAGTCAGAAAATATTATGTACAGAAGAAAATCAAGTTAAAAACCTATGTCATAGAGAAAATCAAAAACAATTTCCACAAATGTCAGTTATATACATTTCTTTCACGTTCTTGAAGACCATGTCTGGAAGTGCTTTTTTGTTTTAAGAACATGCTTAAGGGGGAAGGTCAGAGAATCAGGTCGTGATATAACAGCAAATTTAATTCCTGAACTCACAATTCCAGTAATGTTTGATATTTGGAAAATAACACATATTTGTCATTGAAATGTTATGATCTGGTCACAAGTAACTAACACCAACAGAATGCAATAAACTAACAACGTCCCATGCGGTCCTAGAAGCCTTTCTTTTCATATGTATCACCCTAGAAATCATAATTTCCTTTTGAATTTATTAGTTTAAGATACCTAAAAATTGTAAAGAAGACAACATTTACACAGAAATTTTTCCTTGTTATCTTATAAGCAGCACCCACCTGATAAAATTTTGACAGTAAATTAAAACATAGATTAAATCCACAAAACACTTTTTTCGATTGCTTTTACAACATTAATAGTGATTCTAAGATGCATCTCCATATTCCAAATATAGAAATTTTAAAAGTATTTAAAGTATATTTACATCCATGACTTGTGTACCTATAGGTTTGTGTTGTCTTTTGTTGTTGTTGTTGTTGTTGTTGTTGGGGGTGGGGGGGTGGGGAGAGAGATAGTTTTTCAATGACCAAGCTGACTAAATATTTCTTTGCTTGAATATGTCAGAATATTTTTTCCATGTGGCCAAGCCTGATTTACTTAATTTTCCCAAAGTAACCTTTGTCATAGTATTTTTATATTATCACTAGAGGAATGAAAATAAAATAAACAGAAGGTCCTGATATCTATCTATATGATCTCTACTCAAAACAAAACATCCAAAAGGTTTCTCTAATCTTCTGAAGGTGTTTGGAATCTTTGTTTGCAAATGTTTGCCTCCTTGATAGAGCTTTTTCCTGGATGGGGGTGGAGGAGAGAAGAACCTAACATTTCAATTAAAGAAACATCAAGTGATAATTTGTTCTTCCCTAACATGTTTCACTCAAATAGGACACCAAAAAGAACTGTGCAAAGGAGTCCAAAAGTAAACAGTGTATATCTGAACACAATTTGTTTGCTTGTTTTTAATCCAAAGGAGATGGTACATGTTTAACCTTCACAAATAAATTATTAAAAGCAAAAAACTTTAAGCAAGATCAACACAGATCAAGTAGTACTCTCCAACAGTGCCCTACAATATTAGTTAATTTATTTACTTCTTATTTAACAGTATGAGAATACAGATGTAAAGAATAATATCTTAGGGAAATATTTTTATTTTTTAAATACTGATAATTATTTTCAAAATAATACCACCAATATTGCTTTTTAATATGGTGATTTTCTTATCTCCCCTTATACATTTTATACCATAGAGTAATATAGTTTAGGTACCAATTTAACAAAAAATAAGGAAGAAAGGAAAAGCATGAAGTAAAACGCATTCTACACTACCTTTTTGTGTTTAAAAAACATGTACTAGAACGACAGTGTTAAAAATAGTAAATTACAAATTATCATGTAAATCAACAGACAAAAATCTAAGACATAAGTCATTGAAATTATAAAAAGGGACTGGGGACTGTGTTTGGACTTGGCACGCTTAAATTTCACAATATATCATAAGTCAAGGCTTGTGATCAAAGATCAACCACTCAAAATATTACTAATTTTGGCTATAAATGTAAGGAAAGTCTTATGAACTCCTAATTTACTATGTTTTAATTTAAAAGCAGTTCTGTAGGGTTACTATTCAAAAACAACAATAAATATAAGGAGCCCTGGTGGCACAATGATTATTAAATGCTCAGCTGCTAACGCAAAGGTTGGTGAGTGGTTCCCAACCAGGGGCTCTGGTAAGATTAACACCTAGTGATTTGTTTCCCTGAAGATTACAGCTCAGAAAGCCATATGGGGAAGTTCTACTCTGTCATGTGGGTTTTGATGTGAGTCAGAAATAGACTAACACAACAACAGCACAGCGTAGTACCATCAAGTCAATACCTACTCATAGAGATTCTAGTACAGGGTTTCTGACAGTAAAGCTTAATGTAGCGGTTCTCAACTTTCCTAATACTGCAACCCTTTCATACAGTTCATCATGTTGTGGTGACTGCCCCCAACCACAAAATTATTTTCATTGCTACTTCATTGCTGTCATTTTGCTACTGTTATGAATTGGGCGACCCCTGTCAAAGGGTCGTTCCACCCCCAAGGGGGTCGCAACCCACAGGTTGAGAACTGCTGGCTTAATGGGAGCAGTCTCATCTCTCTCCCACAGGGCAGGTTGGTGGGTTTGAAATGTTGACCTTTTGGAACATTTATGTAATGATCCAAAACATTTATGGAACAGTCTGCTTCCATAAAGATTACAGCCTCAAAAACCCAATAGAGCAGTTCTACTCTGCCCTGCAGAAGAGTCTCTGGGAATTGGAATCAACTGGACAGCAGCTTGGTCCTAAAAGCAGGAATTAATACTGTGAACACTCAATATTTTTCAGTCAACTAATTTTGTTAGTTTTCAACTAAAACTGATACAGGTACTTTACTATGATTTCTGTTTTATAAATGAGAAAACTTGGGCTTTAAAGTAATGCAAAACTTACTCTGGGTTACATGAGTCCAAGATTCTGGGACCAGAGTCTTAGGTATCAATACCTAGAGCAGCACAATGGGACTAAGTGTATTTTATATCTAATTTTCATACATGGTAAATAAATTAATTCTCCCATTAATTTAACTCAAGAGGAAGCAGTTGTAGCTACAAGAACTAGAATATTTCAGATATTTAATAAATATGGTGAGTTGGCCTGGTGCGTATACCTTTCAAAATTCCACTGGATTTCACTTTCAAGCTAATGTCTCCTTATATCCAGTTAATTGAGTTAGAGTTGCTAAGATAGGATTCAAACTCAAGATTTTTGGACTCTCAAGCCCAGGATGTGCCCAACATACTGCACTGCTCTGACACCTGTAAGCCAGGACTCCTCATGCATATTGTTAGCACTGGCAAGAAAGGCTACATTCCACACTACAGGTAAATGTCCCCTTACATCTAAGTTTACACTTAATGTGAGTGTTTTCTAAGTACCTTTTTAAAGGCTAAGCAAAGCTGACATTGCTTTTGTGCAGCTCCATGGTTAAAGTCATATAATGCCACATTTTAGCTTTTTAAACTCCTTATGACATTCCCCCATGTCCACATCAAGGTACAATTTAAAGATTTCAATTTGCTTGATATTGAGATTCTTGTTATTTCTTTTGTCTAATTTAAGTACCCATAAATGAGCTGAGAGAGCTGTTACCACTTCTTTCCCTCTCTGAAGATAGACTAAAAATAAAGGCAATTGCCAGGAAGTTTACCAGACAACCTAAAAGTGCTGGGCTCAGTCTATGAAACAGGTTACACACTGTCTCCATCCTTTACAAGACAGAAAAAAGGAAAAGTCTGGTGGCATAGTGGCTATGCGTTGGGCTGCTAAATGCAAGATCTGAAGGAGAAAGTTTGGGCTTTCTACGGTCTTGGAAACTCACTGGGACTGCTCTACCCTGTCCTTTATGATATGGGCCAGCATCAAAAAGTTCTTGGTAAAAGCCCATTATCATTTCATTCCCTTTTTCATGAATATTTGAAGCCCCTCATACAAGTATCAAGAATCTCTCACTATATCCTATACTTGGACATCTACCTATATTCAATGGAATATTTTGTCTAAAACTTTGATCTCAGAAAAAAACAAAATACCACAAGATCTAAAAGACTAAAGCTTTCTGGCTACAGAGAAAAACTGTTTTGGCATTAAAGCTATCTCACTTAAATTAGAAAAGTTATAATCAGAATTTACTGTTAAAAATTGCTGTTATTCAATCTTTTTTAATACAGTAATCCTCATATTATCAAATATTTAAACTGTAAAATCACATCATATAAAAAATTTAAGCATAAAAGCAATGTTTTAAAAAGGAAAATTTAAATAGCAGTAATTATTGCTTAGCACCTGAATGATTTTTCAAAATCCTCACAAATTATAAAACAACTTCTTTCAACTTTGCAAAAACATGATTCCTTGCAGAATTAATAAGCTTCTTTGAAAGAAAAGCCATATAAAAGGTTCAGGGGAAAAGTCAATATGGCAAAATATCAAAGCAGCATATACTTCAATGATTTTGTGTTTCCCAGCAGAGAACCTGGAAAGATACCTCTTCCAAGTCGACAAATGAATCGGACATACTTTACTTGAAGGGGAAAGAAAGGGGGAGGGAAAATGGGATAGGGAAGGGAGGAGCATAAAGATTGTGAAACCTTGAAGAAATTCAAGCGCATGCTTTTAGAATTCAGGTCACTCTG